TGTAAAAGTAGATGATTTGGTGAAACAAAAGGAGTCTTCTGAACATACAAGCTATTTAAGATCAACAAAGAATAAACAGTGATTTTTTTTGTACATCCAGTAAAAATTTGTCAAAGAACAAAGGAGTAAACATAATGACATGACTCCTGTTTACTTTTGAACTTCACTAATGCAGACAATACAAGGAAGGGTGTATACAAGGAGGGTGAAGTCATTTGGGGGAAGAGGAAAGTTCTGACTTGAACTTCCTTGATGGAAAACGCCTTTTTGGGAAAAAAAAAAAAAAAAAAAAAAGTTGCAATCTTCCTCTAATGGTAAGACAGCTAGAAAAAAAAAGCTGTGGGTTACTGAAAGTGCTTGGTGCCTGTTACAAAATGTGTTTTGGTAGATTTTATTTGGCCTGAACTGCAGTTTTTTGGTGTGTTATGCCGATAAAAATTAATCCTGAAAATAGAGCTGCAAATCATGTTACAACTGGCAACAAAATGTAACTCTGGGGTCCAAAAGCTAGCTTCCAAATTGGAAAACTTCCTAATCATGTAGTAACATTTTATTTCTATTTCTAGTTCCATCAACCCACGTTCTCGGCTTCAAAAAACTCATAAGCGTTTAAAATTGTAATCCAGAGTTTCTGCAACGTTCCCAAATTACGCGTAGTTACACATAGTAACTCTTCTGTCTAAAATCCTCTTTGTTTTTGCTCCATCTTCGCCTGATACATGTTTGATCATGTTTCAATAACGCTCAGTCATTTAATCTGCTAAGTGAAATCTCAGTGAAAGTGGTGTTCCATTCATCATGGTAAGAGTTAAATCCCTTTGCTAATGCCTGATAGGTATGATTAACTTTGTAACTTGTGGAGTAATATGGACCATTCAGGGATTTGGTTAAGCCCAGGTCCCACAGGCCACCTTTTATTTATAGCAAGACTATTACTTTATGTTATACTGATTTCATTTTCCAAACCAATGCCTGATGGGGCTGAAGTCACTGTTAGATCAAATATCTTCAAATTGCATAGCAGACTGTACTGGGAACTTTTCAGTGGGTAGTTACCTTCTCTTCAATGTTCAAAGACTGTTCTTCCTTTGGCCTAGTATTTGGGGTTTTGTACTCCTAGTTGTGCCAAACTTTACATATGGAAGAGATGATTTTCAGGAGGACTAGGTAGGATACTTGAATAAAAGTAGATAATAATGCTTTGCTCTAGGTCTGATTCAAGTAATCATTCAGATTTGTGTTAGTATCCTCCAACATGGCAAAGCATGTTAATCTACTGTTTTTTAAATATTGATGTTTTGTGTTGGATAGTGACATTCTTTGATTTGGAGCTCCATAGTTGTAAAAGATGAAATTGTTGCCATCTGTTCCCAGAGGAATGGTATAGGTTTTAATTAATGATGTTTGCAGAGTCCTTTGTGAGGTGCAGATTCTGAAAATGCAAGCTAGAATTCAACAGATGTAAGCATCCTGAAGCCACTGGTTTTGTTGAAGCGCATTGTGCTTTTAATTGTGTTTTTCTGATGTTACATTGGAAGATGGAAGTTATACAAACCCAGGCTAGGATCAGGATAGAAATAGGGGACTGCCTTAAAAATGAACTTTTTTGTCATGTTGTAACTCAATATTTCTAACAGTTTTACCATGGAAAGGATATGCTTTTTAAAAATATATTTTTTTGTATTTATTATTGTTTTTAATGCCGAAGGTCATAGAACATAGGTATTCCAGTGGGTAGATTGCAAGGAATGTGAATGTTGCACATTGAAAAAATCTGCATGTATGAGTCAAATGTGTGCTATTTGCAGTACTGATTTTTGGTAAAGAAAGAGTCTATTTGGAATTGTGTGTAAAATTCTTAAAAATGCTTTTTTTAATGTCTAGAAATCTTTTCTTTATTAAAAAAGTCATGAGTTGCCCGAAGTTTTTTATTTCTTGATATATTTCGTGATATATTTCTTGATATATTCTGGTGTGCCTCTAAAATCATAAGCACCACATGGAGGAAACAGTCTTTAGACTGTTTATATATTAATTTCTGAATCATATACTGAATGAGCAAATTCCGTCTTCCAGTCCATGCCTTCATGCCTTTCCCCCCCTCTTCTTTTCTTTTCTTTTTTTTTTTTTTTGGATAGTTTAGTTGCTATTGAAATAACTCTTGGCTCTAAGCCATTGCTTCCTTAGCAGGCTTCCTCTTGGCTCTCTTAAAGAAGTTTTGTAAGCATTCCTCTTTTTTAAAAGAAAAAGAGTATTTGGTAATATTAATTCCTTGCTTTTATTGGACATTCTTGTAGCAAAAGCAGTGTGACATTCTGGGCCTAATAAAATGAAAATTTCCATCTCATAAGAGTTGTCAGAACAGTTTGAACTGAAGTTTTTCTTGTTGGGTCAGTTTTCTTTAAAAGAGGCGCAGATGTGTGTAAATTTTTTATTTTTTAATGCAGTGGGTCAGAGGAAAGCTAACTCCTAGATGCCAACCCTTAAAAAAAAATCCACTGAAATGAATTTATAAAATAGTCTGTAGATTTCTATTTTCCTGTAGATTTTTCTTCCAAATTCTGTCTGAATTAAGATGTTCTTCGTAGGAGCAACTGAAGGAAGTCATTCTTTATCTACTAAGGTGTTTTGAAATGTCAGCAAATATATGTATAATGGTGGTCCAGTTGGTGATGGATTTAATTTTAAATTTAATATTACTATTTGGACAGCTTCCTATGATTTTTTTCTCCAAAGGTTCTTGATGAGTGTCGTGAATGAGGAAAAGCTGCACTCGTGCATCAAAAACTGCTTCAGGCAGAAGGAACAGAGAAGGAAGAAATGATTAGTTTTCAAAAAGACTGTCAGTGGAAGGGACTGTTAGGATCTACACTGTTCATCATATGCAGACATGCTCATAAAAGGGTATAAATAGTGAAGATAACCAAATTATTCACATAGTTCTAAAGTTGACTGCAAAAGATAGCAGAAGTCATTCAGTGCCATGACAAATTGATGAAACAGCCAAACATATGAAGCTACGCCTAGTTATTACTGGGCTTTTTATTATTGCTAAAGGGAAGAAATCTTTGTGTCTAGTTCTCTTGAGAAGGTTAGCTTGAGGACAATCAAAAAGCTAACAATGTTAGACATTAAAAATGAAGGAACTGAGAACAAGGTGGAAACATGATATTGGTTATCAAATACGGCTTCAAGTCATCTTATCTCAAAAAAAGTTAGATGGAGTTTTAACACTAGCTTGACAAAGCTGTTGAGAAGTGCAGCATTAGTAAAAGGAGACTATAGGTGTAAACGAAACAATTGTAAACATGGTCAGAAACTGTTGGGGACAAAGGGAAATGAATTATTAATAGATACTGCAGTAAAAAGTTAATTATGTGCCATTAATGCACATAAGTAATGCTTTGGTCATCTTTTCAGAACATATGTTACTCATGAATGTGCTGACAGTCATTAGTAAGAAAAGCTATTGTTCATGAAGTAGGTTATCATTTCTTAATAATTTATAAATCTCCTTGGAAAATATAACGTGTTTGGTAATGGATATTACTTGTCCCTTATCTGGGTAGATTTGAAGTCAGTTTTGTTTTTAAATTTACTGAAATGTAAATTCTAGATAGTGCAGGGTTGGAAAGCTTACACATGCATGCTTCAGAACAGTAGGTCTTGGTATCTGATGAACTTTCTTCACATAAACATGATAACCCTTGTTTAATCTCAGGTACTAGGTATGAATCATGTAGCAGAATAGATGTGTATGTAACACAAATGCAGAATTACACTATGAGCCGGAGTATTCCTTGTTTTTATTGGGTAATAAGTATTTAAAATATTTTAGTATATTAATTACCAGATGCCTTATTTTTAAGGCTATTTATGTTAATGTTCATTTTCTGTTTTGAAACTATCAAAAGAAAATGATATTTTAAAAGTCAGCTATTTAGTACAAAATCCTTGTTTAGGAGGAATGGAGATCTGTATTGCATCTTTGAGTCAGTGGGATTTCATATTGAGAGGAATTTGCCTTTTTGCCTTTTTTTTTTTTCTCTGAAAGTATGTGTAAGAGGTGAGATGAAGAGGAAAGCAGCATGAACATGCTGAATTGTGAGTTATTAATAATACCTCTGATACTGAATCTGATGCCTGGGAGGGTGTCCTCTGTTGTACTGCATTCATGTAAATTTCTTTGAGGCAATGGATATTGGGGGCTGCTGGTGGGAATGGAAGCAGCAATTATCTATTAGTAATAGAAACCTGGACGGATAAAAACAGGATGCAAACAGGACACACACAGGATAAAAGACAAAAACCAAACATATACTAATAATGTGCACAAAGAAAATAAAAGACAAGCATACTAACAGTGGGCAGCTATTGGGTAGTTGGAGCCAGGGGGGCTCATAGCGTCAAGGAGCCAAAGGAATGGCTGTGGTTTAATTCCGCCCCCCTCCCCCCCGTTAAACGGATGGGTTTCTGGTGTGTTTAGTGATAGCAGCTGCTCTCTCAGCTGAGCAGTGGAGCGTTCACCTAAGCAGCAAGCGGAGATGGGGCTGCTGCTTCCTCTCTAGGCGAGAAATTCCTTGCAGGCAGCTACAGAAATGGCATGAAGGCGGCTTCGTCCCGCCTTCACTCCCCGCTTTGCAGCGCGGTGGAGGGGCCCCAGCGTCTGTGCGTGTGTGTGTGCGCGCGTGCTTGTATGTCTGTATGTGTGTGTGTGCGCGCGCCTGTATGTCTGTGTGTATGTATGTGCTTGTGCGTGTTTGTGTGCGCGCTTGTATGTCTGTGTGTATGTGTGTGCTTGTGTGTGTGTGTGTGTGTGTGCGCGCGCGTTGTGTGTGAGGAGCAGGTGGGCCTCGCTGCAGCTCCGCCCCGCGCGCTCCCCGTCCGCCATACGGCGCTGGCAGCAGCCTCCGCGTCAGGGCGGGCTCTCCATTGGTGGACGGGGCTGTCGCTCCGGGGCCGTTCGAGCCCCACTCTCCTTCGAGCTGCTGCCCAGGTCTGACTCTGGAGCGGTGGCCGGTGACAGTGGGAAGCGGCGTTGGAGGAAACAAAGTTTGCAGCACTTGGGCACTTGGCTGCTCGCGGCTTTGATGCCTATGGCAAGAATCGGTGCCTAAGCCCAGCCATCAGTGGGGAGGCTGACACGCCTTGCTGGTTTGCTGTTGGTGCTGCTATTGCAAAGTTTCAGCTATTTTAATGTACTAAAATCAAGGATTCTAAGTATCAGTCCTCCCTGCCCCCATCTCTCCTTCTAGGTAGGCGAGAAATATTTTTATTCTGTGGATTAGAGAACTTTTTGCATGGAAATTTACTGACTTCTGAGTGATCTCCGCTTTGGGGAAAGGGGGGAAAAGATTTATTTTCATTGCACTTTATTTTTGTTTTCTGGATCACAGGATTTTTGGAGCTATATGGAGGGATCTCAGGATGGTGTGCACCAGGAAAACCAAAACTTTAGTGTCCACTTGCGTGATTTTGAGTGGAATGACTAACATCATCTGCCTGCTGTACGTGGGTTGGGTCACCAACTACATTGCCAGTGTCTATGTGAAAGTACAGGAGCCGATCTCAGAAAAAAAGTTAGAGGAAGACAAAGGGGACACTTTAAGGATTATAGAAAGGCTGGACCATTTGGAAAATGTCATCAAGCAGCACATCCAAGGTACCACGTTACCCCTTGCTCGCTTTCCCTTCTCACCCACCCCATTCCTTTCCGTGCGCAGAGCTCCCGCCGCGCGTGGGGAGGGGGCTGTGGGGAGGTGCGAGACATTGCTGCTGCTGTGGGGAAAGCGCCGCTCCGCAGCCCGGAAGAGCAGCGCAGAGGTCCCTGGCGCCGGGCGGGGACCTGCCACGAGCGCCTCTCCTGCCAGGTCGGCCCTGCGCGGGGGGGGCGAGCCGAGGGGCTCGGGCCAGGCAGAGCGGCGGTGCCTGCGGGCCGCGCGATCCGCATGCCGTGGCAGTGGAGGGCCCCAGCATCTGGCCCTTTAATAAACCTGACCTCGGTTCTGTGCGTGTCTGTGTCGCGTTAAAGCAGGAGTTCCATGGGGAGGGCTCCGAAGCGCAGAGGAGCCTCTTGAGGTCTTGCTGTTGCCGTCACCGGTATTATCTTTCTTTTCCGAAAGGGGTTGCTGCGAGAGGAATTTTTATTCCCCTCCCCCTGCAAGTCTGGCTCTGCTAATCCGTGCAGAGTCTGTGTGTGTCCGGGTGTGCTCAAGGTTTTTTCCCAGTGCCTCTATAGTGCCGAGAGCCCCTTGGGATTATAACTGGGACATTCTCATTTGTGTAATGCCTTTTAAATATGATCTGGTACTGAGGGGACCTCCAGGAGAAAGGCAGAAGGGAAAGGAGGGGAAAAAGATTATTATTTCCCATGTGTTTGGGATTTTAAATCATTCTGTTTTTCTGGGTGTTATTTAACTAGTTGTCTTTTTATTTTTCATCTTCCACACGGCATCAATCAGTTCCTCCCTCAGTCTGTGAAGGAGGCTGGGGCAGGGGCATATGAGATCCCTCACAAAATTTAAAGGGACTGTCTTTTGCTGCTTCTGCATAAGCTCTTCTGAAGGTTCAACACCAAGTCTAGCCTCTTTGGTATGTATCTTAAGTCTGCTGAGATTGAGCAAACCATCTAGTAGCATCAGTACACAAAAGCTTACCTGCTTCCAGGCAGTTTTGGCCAAGTGTTACGGGAATACAAAGAATGCTGGAATGGGCAGACTGACTGATCACTTATGTACTGAGTTTCCCTTGCTAACTGCTCACAAGTATGACTGCAGGACTGTTAAAGGCCAGCTATTCCGTTGTGACTTGTACTAGTATTTTTAAAAATATGACATATCACTGCTCAGTACGGATATGCTGCCTCTTTCTTTCTTTCTTTCTTTCTTTCTTTCTTTTTTTTTTTTTTTGGATGCTCTTGTCATCTTGAGTAGGCTAGTAAAGTGTTCCTTCTTTCTGGAATAGGAGTGATAGGGGAGCCTGCAGGTTTTAAACTCAAGGACTGCATAAAAGAAGTTGTCTTGATTCCTGAAATGGATTTTAAAAAGGGAATATATTTTTGTCTGTATGCCAGTGGAGTGCACTGTGGAAGCATGTATGAATGCAAGGATTTTTTTCAAAGGGCTCTGTAAGAGGTAGATGCATGAATTTCATTGACTTTCCATATAGGTTTGAAACATAGCTCCTAACTCCTTTGGTTTTGTCAGCATGATGCCCTACTCTTATTTTTCTGGAAAAAAAAAAAAAAAAAAAATGTTCATATAAGCGTATTACCTCAGTCATTGTTTCTCCTCAGTATAGTATAGAAGGGTTATTAGGATGGGATATAGCAAGCACTGGAACAGAAGTTTATTTTGTGACTATGGCTATGTTTGAATGAAACCAGAAAAAAATTAAAAATAGAATTTAGCTGAAAGTTGAGGAATATCTTATAAAAATAACTAGCTCAACAGTTTTAGTTAGTGCTGAAATATACTTAGGGGAAAAGGGTATGGTTTACAAAGTGCTTATAACTTATTGAAACAACTTGCTGTTAAAAAAGCCACTCTAAACCTAAAAGGAAAATAATGAAACAAACATAGATGAATGTTTCAAAATGGTTTTGTTTTGGTTTGGTTTGGTTTGGTTTCTGTTGTGCTTGTGTTGACCATATCATAGTTACTGGGGTCTGTGGCAATTTTTTATGGCAGATGATACAAAATAACTTAGTATTGTAATCAGGTTTTACTTTGTACTTCAAGATGCTATGGCTTCAGGGCTATGCTGCAAACTCTTAGAAGTTATTGGAAGGAATACCTTAAACTTGAATGGGTTTTGTATCATCACCAAGCTACTCAACTTGAAGATAGCTTCAAGTTACAAGTTTGGGATTCACTGTCATAAACTGTATAAACCAGTTGCTTTAGTGGTTCTGGACTAGTTATGAGAGTTATCTCTTGTTTGTCATTAAACATTTGTTTGAACCACTTCTTTATGTTGGAGAGAGTTGTCAGTAGCTCAGATGTTCTGCAATGTTGAACAGGCATGAAATGAGCAACAGGAATATAATCACATTCTTTAGGATATGCAGCAAGTGCTGGGAAGCTCCAACTGCAGTATTTTACACATGGGACTATGCTAATGTTTTATTTTAATTTGTTTTCTAATTGAATTATTTAATTTGATGCTATCTGGGAATTCTTTTAGAATATAAGTTGCAATCTGATAATATTTTATCAAGTGTACTGGAAAAGAGAGGATATAAAAGATGTCTTCTTATAAAATGCCTTTTAAACCATGTATTTTTAAAAATTATGATATTTTCCTGGCAAGAAAGGTATTAGACTGGAAGTAGTTTTCCAGATGAGAGAATGAGAGTATGCATGCTTCGTATGTTTGGAAAGCACAGTATGGAAAGGGTACTAGTCTTACCTTGACAAAGAATGCAAAACTTTGGAT